TTTTGTCATATGGTAGTGTGTGTGCTTTTTCGCTTACCCTCCATCTGCTGTCTGCTAATCATTCTGTTTATTACTGTACCTTTGCATCACCCATCCAATACGGACGAGAGTGGGCAACCACTAGGGAAGCTTAGACTTTAACTCCCCATCTGTCTATTGTGGATAACTCTGCACTCTATGCCCACCACCACCCCCTCGCTGTCTTCTTCTTCCCTTGTGGAATATAATGCAACCTTTATATTCATGATGTCTTATGCTACTACAGTGCCCTGACATGGGAGTGAATGCAATTATGGAGCCCGTTGTGAGCAGAGCGTCTGCATGTGTAGCATCATAGAGGGGCTCATGAATATAACATGCACTCACTACTGTTGTATTTTTGGGTGTATGGCATTTCACTAAATTTAGTCGGTCATTTTAGTGCATGAGGTGTTGGGTATGGTATGAAAGAAGACAATCTGACATTTTGGGAAAGTCTCTCTGGGCTTGGCGTTCATTTTCAAACACAGCAAATGTCCAGATGACGTCACAGCAAAACGCATGGCCGTGGTCGTCCAGGGAGACATGCGTATCTGTGAATCTGTGAGAATAAATGCTAGAGAGGGTTATGGCTTTGGTATTCCAACAATATTCTGCTCTGGTTGGCATCACACATGAGTAAATCTCAAATGGAACAACATGTATTTTTCCATCTCGCTGCCCCTTAAAAAGTCATATCAGCCAGCTACTTGTGGAAACAGTTTCACTAACTACTGTAAGTCAGTTCTCACCTTTTTTTTCTATCCGGTTCTATCCGGATGCTGTTACTTCATTTAAATTGATACATTACTGCTGGAATTCGCCTTCTGAAGTGAATCATTGTCAGCCTATATATGGTGGGCAAGAAGGATGGCATTTGACACAAACTGCAGGAAATAAAATAGGCCTGAGCATATAGATTCAAAATAGATTTAATGGCTGAATTAGCTGTAATTACTTTTTCCGTGAACTACCTGAGGAGTCATCCAAGTCACAAGCACCAAGGGAGTATGGGATATACTTTACATTTTTGGCCGGTAGTCAGAAATTACCAATGCCTGACTCACGGCCAAGCCTGCATGCATAGTAACTCACTGTGTGCCCGCTGATGAAGTTTTTACTTTGAAAATAGGTCTCCACACAGCTGGCAGAGAAAATTCTTCTAACTGTAATGACTGCAAATCATTTGGCTTTACTGTCATTCGTGCACTTACAGTATGGCAGTGCCCTGCATGTGGTTTATCCAAATGCAGCTGGAGGGGGAAAAAATGATAGAAATCATTCAGTATGAACTCTATTGACTTCTACACCACATTTTTCAAAGTATGAAAAAGCCATGTGCAGTTTTCATTAATCAAAAAAAGTCTTTGGTTAGTTGATGTGGAGTTGTGTTGATAAAAAACAGTTCTTGCCAAAGTGACTCCCTGGGGTTCAGGCAAAATCCCCTCAGACTGATCATTAATTGTTTAGCTATTGTGCTTTAACCATGTTAAAGAATTAAACGAAGACAAAAGGGGGGATAAAAACAAATAAAAAATGACCACATTAAAAACACAGTCATGCTGCAGCGAATTAAGTGTCAACTCATGGTTGCCGGTTGTCATAGAAACTCAACAGGCTTTCTGGCTTGGAAGTTTTTAAGGAGCTTAGCTGGCGCAAAAATAGTGATGGTCAGAGCAAGTGATGGAAAGATTTAAAACAGCACAAAGACAGAGCCAGCCTGTGACTGTGACACAGCCTGAATTAGAGTTTACTAAAATGGCTAAACGGCACTTGGCTAATAGCTTAATGGACATATTTTGGCTGCTTGTGGAAGAAAGCTATCCGCCATCATCTGTGGCACTGTCCATTCTTAACATATTGGATGAGAGATGAGAGAGCCAAAGTGAGTATTGTGCACATGAAAAGGAAAAATCACAGAGACCACCTGTCACTGAGATGGAGTGTGAAAAAAACACAACATTCATAATATTTGTGTACACCTCGTACACCCTAAGTATAACCTACTAGCACTGAAGAAAATAAGATTATTCCAAAACGGTTAGTCTTTCAGCATATAATCTTTTATAAGCCATATATTGTAGTTATCTATTGTAGTTTTGTTGGCTACCATTGTGTTGGGCTCTCTTAAAAATGTTTGGGAACTACTGCTCTAGAAATGCAGCAAAGAAGTTTTGTAACATTAATGGGATCCGTGCCACGTCTGTTCTTAGTGCATTTCTGTTGCAATTAAAGGCGCTGCCCCCATTTATATTCGCTGCAACGAAAACTCCCTTTCTGAGTGCAGTCTTTTAACATGAGCTAGCATAGGCTCTTGTGCTGAAAGGCAGACTGTAAAAATAAAAGGCAGTTCTGACAGGCATAACGCGTGTTTCTATTCTACAAATGTTCCCTCAGACACCCACGTTTTCCCTGGGTAGTGGCACTCGGTATTCACGGCAGCGGGAAGCCTGTCGGTGGTATTTACACACATAACTGGGGTGAAAAGAAATAGATTTCACAATCAGGTGCAGCAGTTCATAGCAGTTAGTATCAAGATGCCATCAGAATCCGGAAACCGCAGCCCTTTGTGATGGTCTCTGGTGAGATATCAGGTAGGTCCCAACAGAGGATGAATAATCAGTTAATTCATTGAAGTGATGCAAATTTACCTGCATATTTGAAGCCGTATGAAACTTGCCAACACTGCATGAAATGTGTAGCGCTCATAGCTGTAGCCCAAACATGTTTATATGTCACAAATATTTTCAATTGCTTTTCTTAATAAAAGGGGTGGGGGTGTGTGTGGGAGGTTTAATGAGTGCCTTCAATTTTACAAAAGGACAAGAATCTCCACAGATCGATTCATTCATCTGTCTGTCTTGTGATCAAGGAAAGCTTTTATGTCGCCTCTAATTCAGCTATACTGCAGCTATCCATTTTAACACCAGAGAACTTCCTATTGGGCTATTGATCAGCTGCACTCCAAGGGATTCGTTCCAACTCATCAGATTGA